TAAGAGCTTTTTTGTGACGTAAAATATTATAATTTATTTTTCAGGGGAAACATTATTAGACATTTTTTACTTCCATTAAAACAAAACTATCGTTGATTTAAACATATTTCTTTTTCTTGTTTTTTTTTTTATTTTTTTCTTTTGATAAAGATTGGACCTTCAAATGAATTCGATTCTTCTTAGTGTCGTCCTACCCAGTCGAGCGAAAGTCTTCGAACTACAATCAAACGCTGCGTGGAGAAGAGACTTTTACTGAGATCGATATTTTCCCATTTTAAGCCATGATGAAGAGTCGATTATTGTGCTGTTCGTCGCAAACACCGTGAAAATCGATCCTTTTCCATAGGTATACATGACAGACTCCTCGATTAATCGCAAAAGCTCGACAAGCCTATGAAGAAGAATGGCAGAATCCTCCCCCTAATTTCCTCTTTCGCTGCCGCGTTACATCCGTCCTTTCACTTTCCTTTCATTCTGCGCCGGACGTGGTCAAGCTCAAGCTGTCCATTTTACTTCATCAACCCTTTGATTTTCTTTCGGCACACAATTCACGTATGATCCCCACGCGTGGATGTATAGTTTAATGTAGTTTCCAAGTTTGAGACTTCCGTCATAGAGCGGTGCCTTCTAGCCTGTTCCTTTGTTATACTCCTTTGTTCCAGAAATACTCCCTCTGGGCTTTAAACTCGCTGCTACTAATAAATGGTGCCACGCTAAGTAGGAACGCGGAACGAACATTAATGTCGCCAAAGTTCCTCCGATAAAATGTCATTTTTGAGAAAAGTTAGGAGTATTTTCCCTTAAAATTTGCATACACTCAGATCACTTAATTAGTATTGAAATTAGTTGAAAATATAAAATATAAGATGAAAAAACACTATATTAAATAAGTGAAATAATATGAAAACAAGTATAACTGACGAGAAAGTCACTTGAATAATAACATATTTTAATATCCTTGCGTACCTCCTCGCTATCCTCTCTGCTCTTTCCCTAATGTAAAAATACCCATAAGTAGAACTAAGCATACGTCTATGCAATTCCGTATTATTAATCAATTATTTATGGTCCAACAAAAAACCTTAAGCTAGAAATTAGATACATCATATGCAACCTTATAGAGATGATGATCCAACGAAGATCCTTATTTTGAGATGATGTTTCAGCGGATCGAAAAGCTTCGCCCAGCACAATGTAATAAAGATCGTTTGAAACAAATAAAACGAAAGGTATCAAGGCTAATCATACTTATTTTATTAGATTAACAAAGATTATGTATTCAGCTGAAAGTTTTTAGGGAACCTCAGATATGGAGACAAAATGCACTCGGAATCCGAGTTAGGAAACTTCATCAAACTATCATTTTAAGGAGAGTGAGCAACTGACATCCCATCGAATATTTTTGGTCCCCTCTGAGTCGTTGGATTATAGCCTGCGGATAGTGTGCCACAACTTGAACTCCCAACTTCCTAATGCACATTTGGTGGAGATATTTCATGTTCCATCAGCACACGCAAAGTTTCGAACGGGATGTAATTAAACGGAAAGAGAGATATTTGGACGTGCTCAAGCCAAAAGGAACTATGTTACATGCAATCTCTATGCACATAGTTCCTTTTAGCATAAACAAGTTCATTTCAACGAGGAAAGTTGGGAGGAAATGAAGCCGCGGGATGAGAGCGAACTCGAATCTGGCCGACGGTGATGCCGGCAGCGCGGCACAGATGAACCCTGATTGTCAAAATGGAACATGTTTATGTTCAGATGAGCCCCAAATCACTTGTTTTTACACGTAGTCCAGGGCTCATATTTTTCCTTCAAAGGGGTCCATGTATCGACGGTAAAACTGCAGAAATGCGTATTTCAGTCGCGGTGTTTTGAAATCTCCACTACTATTTTATTTTTTGAACAGGAGACCAAACCAACATCAAGGCTTGAAGTTTTGTCAAAATGGAACATGTTCATGTTCAGATGAGCCCCAAATCACTTGTTTTTACACGTAGTCCAGGGCTCATATTTTTCCTCCAAATGGGTACATGTATCGACGGTAAAACTGCAGAAATGCGTATTTCAGTCGCGGTGTTTTGAAATCTCCAGTACCAATTTATTTTTTAAAAAGGAGACTGAACAAAAGGCTTGAAGTTTTCACAGACTATTCTTCATAAAGACAAAAAGGTAGCTGATATTTTTAAAAAAATGACGTTCTAAAGTTTTCCAAGTATGAGATGTTGTATGACAGGAAGTCTGCAACGCCGCAAACAGCGATACGCAAACTGCCTTCCTCAGTAAAAACCCCGTAACTTCATTTTAAGGTTCAGTTACACGATCAAATTGAGCCATCAAACTGAAGCTCTGATTGAAGGAAAAAGACCTGAGGTGAGGATGCGACCAATGAGAGGCCCAATTTGATGGCTCCATTTGATCGTGTAACTGGACCTCTAAATTTTTTCCAGCTATTTAATGACAAAAATTTTTACTACCGAGAAACCAATGACCATTTATCCTTCCTAATTCTGAAGTAACTGTGGCACACAATTGAGATTTCAAATTCACAAAATGAAGCATGATGGTGATCAGGTTCTCTCGTAATACAACAATATGTGTGGAAGAACGGCGCAAAGTCCTTATTAGCAGGGCCGGATTTAGGAGGTGGCGACATGGACCGCGGCCCATGGCGGCAAATTTAGGGGGCGGCAAATATTGTAATTTTTTCAAATGTAGGTATCAAGAAAAAAATCCGATTCAGAAAAAAAATTATCAACAGAAAAAGGCGAAACAAATTTCTCTTTCCTGAGAGTTAAAGTATAGTACATTCTAATTTGTTCGTCTTTTGGTGATGCAAGAGAAAGCACCTTTCATTAGTCCAGTTAAGAGAGAAACCAAACACGCAATTTGGCCTGGAGCGGCGCGGCGCAGACAGCAATGATGACGCGGACTTGAGACGGTGCCATCGGCGCGCCGGTCAGCATGTAACGCATATGAGCGCCTACAAGACTCCATGAATACTTCACGCATTGCGTCAAACTTAGTGCGGTCAGCAGCGGTCGGCGTGAAACGCATAGCGCCTACAAGACTGTAGGGATACTTCGTGCATTGCGCCAAACACAGTGCAGTTGGCGCGGTGGCGGAAATTAAAATTAGTAAACCACATTCATGTTTATTCTTTCATAATTTTTTCGTTTTTTGCTTATGAATGGAAGGCCTCGTCCACATGGAGATAGGTTTACGGAACTTAACCGTCGCGCAAAGTTCGGTGAACTTTCGCTAGTGTTGACAGGGCTAAACTACCGATTACTAGTTCAATATAGAACATGAAACATGAAAATCTGCTATGTTCGAAACCTAGATACGCGGTATCTGAGGCCGCCCATGGCAAAGTGTCGACTTGAAGAAATACGAAACAAGCCCGCGTTTACGCTTATTTTTTTCGCTTATTTTTTCCCATTATTCCGTAGCAATTTACGATCCTTACAGAGCATTTTTCAATCTAACTTTGCATACGAGACGGCGAACACAGTCTAATCACATACCACGGATGAAATTGAATTTTCTTCTTTACATACATCTTGCTCTTGAATTTTCCGTAGCTCTCTTCAACAGTTCTCATTACATTTTAGTATTTACATGATATATTTTAAGTAATACCTATCTTCAATCTCCCGAATCAAAATTCTTTTAAAATGTATTCTTAACGTTATTATTACCCAACTCGTGATAATCTTTAACGATCTGATTTGATAGTCTTAACTTGGTGTTGGTGTGTTCTGGTATGGGTGTCCCCTTGGGTGATCTTGAAACTCTGTTCACTCTGTGCTTTGCTGATGACCAGGTGGTGGTTGCTCAAGATCAAGAAGACGCGGAGTACATGATGCGCAAGTTAGTAGAAGAATATCGGAAGTGGGGTTTGGAAGTCAGCATATCCAAATCTGAGAAGATGACTTTTGGTGGTGATCAGCAAAGCATTGAGTTGGAGGATGGGCAGCAGATCAAATGCTGCGAGCACTTCAAGTACTTGGGAGTGCGGTTGACCCAGGATGGAAGGACGGATCAAGCTATCAGGGAAAGGAACACCTTAGCAAGGAAGGCTATAGCGATGTTAAATGGAATCCTCTGGGATCAGCGGATTTCCAAAGATAACAAGAGGAGGATATACAACGCTGTAGTAAAAAGTATATTAACATACGGATGTGAAGTTTGGCAGCTGAAGAAACAGACACAGGATATGCTAAGAGCAACGGAGATGGATTTCTGGAGAAGGTCGGCAGGAATTTCTAGGAGAGATCGGGTCCGTTACGATAGAGTGCGTCAGATAATGGAAGTCGAAAATGACATCGTGTTCGACGTCATGACCAAACAACTTGTTTGGTATGGTCATGTCAATAGGATGACGGAAGAGAGGCTGCCAAAAAAGATGCTTGATTGGGTTCCTCCTGGGAGGAGGCGTAGGGGACGCCCAGTGAGAGGTTGGCGACAGGGGGTGTTAAGTGAGATGAGGGAGTGTCAACTCCCTGATAACCTGTGGGAAGACCGAGCTTTGTGGCGATTAGGTGTCGCAAAGCGCCAAAGAGCGCTATAACAGCGACTCGTATGTATGTATGTAACTTGGTGTTGGAAATCTTCAATGATTTTAGTAGCTCGAGGGTCGAAGATGATTTTTTCACTTCCATTCAGCAAGTTTGTTTACTAATAACGAGGTATTCGGCTGTAGACTACCTTAATGATGACCATGAGATGATGATGCTCTGAGACCCATAAAAATGGCTCGGAGATCCATAATTTCTAACCTAAGTGACTTACCGTCTACAGTATGGCTTTCTGAGCCATACGTAATTGGTCTTGAACCTATAAGCATGGCTCCACGAACTATATTTTATGGCTCCATGATCCATAACTCGGCCGGCAAGTCACTCTTCCCATACTTGTTTTTTGAGTGCGACAATTTTGCATGCGCATCTTTAAAGAGAAATTGTTTCATATGATGTTATAATTTATTGTTTCAGGATGTGCGTGGGGAGTTTCGTTACTGCTGTGGCCTCCTTGGATATACGCCTGGCCCTACATCGAGGGCGAGCGGACCGTGCCTGCCACCGAGTGTTACATACAATTTATAGAGACCAATCATTATATTACTTTCGGTACTGCGATAGCTGCCTTCTACGTTCCTGTTACTGTTATGTGCATTTTATACTTTAGGATATGGAAAGAAACCAAGAAAAGACAAAAAGATCTACCGAATCTCCAAGCGGGCAAAAAAGATAGTAGTAAACGCTCTAATTCTAGGTAAGTTCACATTTATTATACTGTATGTTAGGACCTTGAAGTGCGGAATATGCTGGTTCAAGAGCGCTTTTGTGAAAAATTCTAAAGCCAATTTCTGGATTCCAAGAAATTTTTTAAGAATTTCCGAGGATCACATCTTGCTGTAGTGCGTCAGGTATTTTTACACACTATTCGACCAACCCTTACATTGTCGAATCGTTATCGAAAAACCTTGATCGATACATAGCATTGCCAAGATAGGGATTTATCGATCAAACTCATTCGATATCGATTCTATAATCGACCGCAGGAAACGTTTTGAAATAGATTCAAAAGTACATCCCGAGTGATAAAGCAAATCGAGAGGCAAAATGATTCGTGATATTCACTCGGGACGTACTTTCAGAGTTATTTCAAATCGTTTCTCGATCATATTTTGTATCTAAATATCTGACGTGCTGCAGCGAGATGTGACGCTCGAAAATTCTTAAGAAACGAAGAATTCTAAAATCCAGTGATTATCAATGAATCGATCGAGGACCTACATCCAAAGTGCTGAAATCAATAGTCCGGAGACCCCAAAGTCCGGAATATTATGTGACTGTGTGTCAGTGTCGTGGTGTGGGTTGCGATGTATCGATAGGTATGCCATTTAAAGCTGCGGTAAATAATTGATTATCAAGGTGTTCGCTGCGAACACCCTGTTTATAGATCCTTCTTCATAGGTTTAAATGGCAGATCAATCAATATATCGCAAATCACGCCACGCCAGTGCTGTATGCGGGAAGAAGAATCCTATTGCACTGAAATAATGAAAATTCACATGTTCGGCCTCTGCTTGAAATAGTGTTTTACAAACATGTTGGCATGGCTTTGCGCATCCTAATTTGATTATATTCTGTAATAAAGAACTACTATTTCTTGCTTATTTTAGAAACAGCACACATGCCATTGGTTTCCCTATGCAGATTATGTGATTTTGTGGGGGAGCCAGAGATAGTGGTTCCTTATTGCAAAAAGTAATCCAATTCAACAACGTTAATTTGAACTAAGACGTAAACCACGTATTAATGTCAGACAGCTGAGACCGAAACTATATGGCCACAACCATAAATTAGATTAACAATGTCCACCTTGAGGAAGGGTGCCAGCACAATTTGGTGACATTTTACCAAACCGAAGAAAATTAACCCGCGTTAGAGGCTTACTTTAATGGTGGAATGGAAAGTCTCAAGACTCAGACTGCTAAAATTTGGCTGTAGAAAGGTTTTCTCTATTAAAAAAAACATGAGTGGAGGTTGGCGATAAAATCACATGGTCGTCGTAATCTGTAAACTGTCGAGAACTGTTTCAAGCTTGAATAACTATCGGTCTCTCTTACCCGGGCCACATGCAAAAACAGAGCAGTTAGATTTACATAAATTCCCATACGCTCCTCCACTACCCCGCCACCCCTATCTCAAATACTTCAGAATATGCCGAGTCTACTATGCGATTCGCCCATCTGGTATGGTGAGGTTAGGTTTTCACCTCTTGTTTGTTCTATAGATTTTTACACTCAACTATTTTTGCCTCGACTCCTCAATATCGAGACTCTACTTACAAATGGACCGCGTTAATCAGGTAGGAACCGAGTTACATCAGCCATTGCCAAAAACTCACCAATTTAATTTTTTTTTACGTGAAAACGGTTCTGCGGATTTTTCTTCAAATTTCAATGAATTTTTTGCATAGCACGAAGCAAATTCCTCAAAATTTTCAAAGACATCTGTACAAAAGTTCTCTTGTAAAAAATTAACTTGCCCAGTTATATGCGGCAATAGCGGATGTGGCATGTTTCCTTTCTGCTGAAACGCGATCCAAATCGAAGTTGCGAAGTTGCACCCAAGCATTTTTTGAAGTTTTGTGCAGTAAATTATCCAAAACTTTTTATCCCGAAAATTCATCATTTTTTTATCGTGCCAGAATTTGATTCAAGTTGCTCCTAATTTCTAGACTCCAAAAGCACCTTTTACCAGAAATAGCTTGAATGTGTAAAATGATACATGTTTTTAAATAAGAATCGCCGTCAGATGACGTCACTAGGTGATAAATTTTCTAATTTTTAGATATATTTTTATACTATTTCCCCTACCAAAAAAAAAAATTAAAAAAAATACTGCGAAATCAGCTCTCTGAGCACTCTCAGATGAAACGATTAGAAATTTGCGCGCACCTCTCCATTGATGATCTCAAAAATCGGGCTAAAACCGACAAGTTTATAAGGTAATCATATTCTGATGGCCAAACTCGAACACCTCGCATCTCTCACAATTTTGTAGACTTTCTTTCATACTTTAATTTTTGTGCAGGAAAAAATCAACGTTATCTTTGAAAATTTCTGGGATAATTTGCTTCGTTTGAAGGATATCCTGCGATATCCTCAAGTAATAAAAATGACTCATTATCTCTTCCAAAAGAAAAGAGGAAAAAGAGAAAAGGAAAAAAACATCGCAATCAACATACGTAACTTTCGGATCGAGCCATTGATACCAATCTTATGCTCACTCTGAAAATATTTCTTTCCAACCTCTTTAATCAAACAAACGGAACTCGCCGCGCAACTGACTCGCACCGTATTACAGAAGAATCGGTTTCTGTTAGACGGGTGTTAATCCAGAAACTCATGAGCCCTAGCGTGCTGCGTGATCAACGAAAACCAGGGCTCACGAGTTCCTGGACTCACGCCCGCCCAACAGAGACCGATTCAAAAAAAGGTGCGTTCCAATTTCGGCTGAGAATCCTTCACAATATAAGGTGTTTTGCCCGGCTCGAGAGTTGGATTTTTCAACGGAAACGAAAGGATATCTTTGAGGAAGAGACACGATGACGACGAGGAAGAGGAATAGGCGGGGGCGGGCGAACGAAGGAGAGAGTGAAAAGAAATCAACTTAATGGATCGGCAAGAGGAAATCAAAGCTCTATCAGGTCGGATGCAACGGCGGCGGCGGCAGCGGCGAGCATTTTTGAGCTGGCTCTTACGTATTTGATGCTTTTGACTTCTCCCGGGGCGGGCCTTTGCCGAGTCAAACGTAAAGTCTCTGAAGGGAAAATTTAATCTCGCCATAATCTGTCAGTCACTGTTCCGCAGATTCAATCGCCCTGGACTCTCATCCAGTGGCGGGGCGTGAATGATCGACTATCGATATTTTCCCATTTGTAGCTATGGTAAGGAATCGATTATTAAGTTGTCCCTTGCGAACACCCTGTTTATCGATCCTTTCCCATGGGTGCAAATGGCAGATCGATCGATGTATCGCAAAGTACGCCACGCCACTGCTCTGATCCTATGGAAATAACCAATCCTGTCTCCGGGGCTGAGACGATCGCCTCAACGCTTAATATTCTATCGAAATCCTATTCAATAGCCTCTAACCCTCTTCTTCTCGGAACCATTAACAGGTCCTCTCTCTCTTGCGCCTCATCTATTGCCAAATCAGTGGAAAAATAGTCTCGCTGTTTCCCTGTCTTCAGATACATTATATTTTACAAGTCCTCATTGACAAACTAAATGCTCAAGTTTAATATGCATATTGCATCAAATACTTAAAGTCAATAAGATGATAAATAAAATATGCCAACAGTTAACAGTTCAAAATTTCCGACCACAGCACGTGGTTTATAAAAGCAGCAAGTTTTATAAATTATTCATATTTATAACAAAGCTCTGAAGACGCTCAAACGGACGAAATGCATTAGCTAGTAAACATCAAATTAAGCACCATTTGGCATATTATTTATTATCTTATTAAACTAAATTTCTTAAGTTTCTATAGGGCGAATTTTTGCGAGTGGGTTTGGTTGACTTTTTTGACCAAAACCTTATGAGGGACTTTTTTTTTCAACTCAATCAACGAGCCTATTAAGCGCATCAACAACCGGTGTCCCCCTCCAGAGGTAGGTCAAAAAGTGGATAGGAAAAAACGGTTTCACCAGAAACCTCGAAAACCAACCAATTTTTCCAAAATAGCGGTGTTCTGTGCATGCGAGCAACAACAACCGCGGTAAGGTGATGCTGATAAAGTAAAGTGTAAAAATTACACGTACATTTGCATATTTGTATTATAATTTGTTTGATATTTTATATCGTAGATTAAGTTTTGTTGCATTGGCCCATCGGCGCGCTATTTTTTACCAATAATCCGGGATTTGGCTCGTTTTCTTCACGGTTTGGTTGAAAATTAGGTACATATTCGATTCTAATTGGTCCAAATTCAAACGGTGCATGTATTCAACGGAGTCATGTAAACAAAATATTAACCGAATTCAGTCGCGAAAATTCGCCTACTGATGATCAAAGTCCCAGAGTTCCCATCCGAATGAGAGGAAGCTCGTTGGGAGTCATCAGTTCCAAAATCGTTATACCGCATTATTTTCCAATGAAAACTTGGCAGATGTGTTCCGTCCGGCAAAGTATGATGGATAGTGGCACTCCAATTTGATCAAAATTTGAAGAATGCTAACATTTCAGAATTTCAAAGGAAATAATTTGGCAAAGCTGCGTAGCTTGAACAAAGTGCGGCTGCACTTGGAAACTTGGAACTTCTGGAAATGATTGAGGCTTTAGGCTAAGCTTCAATAATTTCCGAAGTTTGACCTGATAGAAGCTTTTATTTCAGCCATATTTTATTGACAACTGCTCCATCCGGTGCAAAATAAAAAGAGGATTTCTGTGAAGTCTCCGTGTCATGTACAATAAGTCGGATTTGTAAATTTATCGTTTGACACAGCCATTAGACGGTCTTTAGTCAAGAGTTTGACGAAGTCAAGACCTACGATAAAAGGTAGAAGACCTGACGCCGCGTCGCGCCGTAGAACTTCGTTCAAGATGGAGTCTGATATTGAAACTTTGCCCCGGGATGTTGAGAGATGCTGCGTCTACGGTTTTGTCCGATTAATTAAAATTAAGCTTGTGCGTGATTAAATCCAACTTATTCGAAGGATGGGATTATTTTTCCCTCACGGTATTGCCACTTCCAGAT